CGTCGCCAGATGTAGGCTCTTTATTATCATAGACTTCACAACTCCCACTTTAACCTCATAAGTGTGGTTGGAAAAGAAATTCAATAGGAAAACTGCGTTTGTGGCTTTCCCATACTCATCTCTACCTAATCTGGTCCCCGTTTGCTTAGTAGGATATCTAGAAAAAGTAAACCACTTTTAGAATATATGAAGACCAAGATGTTGTTTGTGGCCTCTGTTATGGTCGCAGTCTCCTTTCGATTTATAAAAGTGGGTTGACCTCGTTGTCGCAACTTGATCTTGTTGTCCGGGAGACTATGTAGAGCGCACCGAGTCCGAAGTCGTCTGCCATAGTAGTTGTCATGATTCCCAGCATCTGAGGATGTATCAAGTTCACTGTCTGATGCTGGGAATTTTGACAACTATGATGGCAGACGACTTCGGACTAGGTGCGTCCTGCATAGTCGCCCTGACAACAAGACTAAGTTGCGACCACGAGGTCAACCCACTTCTATAAACCACTTTTACTTTTATACTCGAGGGTGAATTTGGTCTGCCCATTTATTCTGTTTACCAGAACAGGAAAATTTTCCAGGTTTCGATTTCACGTTGCCGAAAGTCTATATAGCGAACCAATAATTTAGGGACATGGTTGGCAACAGTGAAAATAAAACCTGGAAACTTTTCCTGTGCTGATAAACAGAATAGACGGAAAAGGCAGGTGGTTTACCTTTTCTTGATGTCCTACTTAACAAAGAGGGAACCAAATTAGGTAGAGATGTGCATGGGAAACCCACAAATGTAGTTTTCTTTTTGAATTTCTTTTCCAACCACGCCTATCTGGTTAAAGTGGGCGTTACAACATTGATGATAATACGGAGCCTGTGTTTGGCGGATGTCAAGCCTCGGGGCCAGTAACTGAGGAGATTAAGAAGAATTTTGGTGGATAATTAATTATCCACAATCATTTTAGAATATTGTCAAATATATACATAGTTGGGACTAGATAAAGTTAGACTTCTCTACCAGATTCTGTATGCTGGTATCGTGTAATCTGTCGAAGAAGATGGGCGTAGTACTGAGGAGGTGGGACATGAGGATCATTTCAAAAGGGAAAACAACACTGTCTTCGGTATTGCCTCCTTTTCTGGAATACATTGACCCTCTTTCCAGATCGGGCTGTTGCCAGATGTTGTATTCATGTGGTAGCGCCTGTGTGGGGGAGATCTGTAGACCCATAGATAAGAGGTTACCTGAACAAAAAGCAGCCTGCAGGGGCATCAGATAAACTGGTTGGGGACTGTACCAAATAGTAAGCTATAGAAACCGACAAAACAGCCAACACCATGAACAGAATGAAAGAGTGTAGGAAATTAAGTGGAAACTACTTGTGGTTGTTGGATAGGATTAGAGAGATGGGAATGGAAAGTACCACCGAGCAAGAAGAGGAGGCGTGATTAGGCTCGAAGGTCACACCCGTTTCAAGAGCAATGCATTCACAGAAGATGATTAGAATAGAACGCAATCACATGCGATTGCATTGCAGGATCAAAGATATCCGTTTTTAGGGGAGGATGCATCTGTTCGGTGCCAATTGCATCCGTTTTACGCTTCATTTGCAGCCACTTAACTCAACTTTTGAACATCGTTTAGACAAAGCATGTGAGATCCAATCAAAATATGAGATGCCTCATTGAATGGGCCAAGTTTGAATAGAATAAGTAAGTAGGTTTCAGACTGGCCACCTTTCCTGTCTTCGTGTTTTGATGAATTACCGTTAAGCTTGGTGTCGTGGTCTGACTAAGTCTGTCACATGACGGACGACAAGTATTCCACGAGTATCCATCAGGGTCGCCAGGCGTTGCGCCGAGGGCCCATTCGCACAAATCGACAATCCCATCTCCACAGCAATCCCCCTACAGCTTCAGGTGAGACCAATTTACGAATCGCCTACACTCGCCTCTCCTAACGAACTGAAAGGTACGTCAACATCAAGCTTCTACTTTGTCATACACTCATAGAAAGTAGATACGAAGAGAAACTTGGTTTCGATGAATCTCCTGAGATAACATTGTTAGGGGGACCTTCAT